TTTTCCTTTGAATTCTATTGTTTTGTCTTTCTATCATAAACAAATCCGAGGTTCTCAAACCTATTGCTACTACCTTAAACGGCACCAACTATAATCTATGAGTTCAACGTATAAAAAGTTTTTTGATTGGCGTAAACTCGGCACATTGTAATCGGCGACATTGCTAAACCAATTCCAAAAAAGATGAGTCTCGTCGCCAAATTTGTTGATCGACTAGACAATTGGGACAACAAGAATCACCGGATTATCACCTGGTTTCGCAATACCTCGGTTACATTCATTCATATCCAGTTTGCCGATTATGACACTCGTCAAAGAAATATGGGATTTTTTAGCTAATCGGTACACTACTACAGTGTCTTGCTACTATTATCGACTGTGGACTAACCTCCACAATATCAAACAGGAGCCCGATTAATCCGTGAATGACTTTCTTGCTCGAGTTCAACCTATTTGGAATCATTTATCTCGAGCCAAGATAAATGAAGATCATCTCGCATCTCATTCGAGTTCTTATGGCACTTCGCCCGAATATGAGGTCGTTAGAGCCTCCTTTTGCATCGTACTCCTCTGCCTACCTTGGATGCTCGCCATTCACGAGATTATTTTTGAGGAAACACGTCTTAATCTGGACAAAACTCCTCCATCCGCATTTGTTCTTTCCGCCACTCATTCTAAGCCTTTTTATCGAAATCGAAACTCTATTCCGTAAGCACTGTCATCAAACTGGTCATGCTTTTGCCAATTGTCCTACTATCGAATGCGAGATATTGTCATGATTTTAGACATATCTTGAAACATTGTCCTACTCGACCTCCGCGATCGAAAAATGGTTCTTTTAAATCTCGGGCTCTCTTAAAGTCCGAATCTTTATCCGTTCGTCGTTGTTGCCATCGAGGGTTCTACTACCATTACTATGAGTGCTCTTGAGGCTCTTCTTAAATAGGTTATCTCTTTCGGTTCTTCTCCTGCTATGTCCGTTATCCCGTGTAATTCTTCTTGGTTCTTTGACTCGTATGTTGTAATCACATGACCTCGAGTTCGATATCTTATCTCTAAAACAATCAATCACATCTTTACCACCTATACATACCGCTAATGGTACCCAAATGCATATCTCTCACACTAGCCATGCTTCTACCTTTAATCTTAGCCTTCCAAATACTTATTATGTTCCTAATTTGACTTTAAACCTTATCTCTGTTGACAATTATGTGAATAAGGATTAAATGTTTTTTTTCTTCATTTGGTTATCGGGTTCGGGATCCACGGATGGGCCAAATTCTTGGGATGGGTCGCAGAGTAGGACGATCATTTGAGCTTTGCTCCCTACATTTTCCTCAAAGATTTGCGTCTGCAGCTACCATACACTCCTCTATTTATCAATGGCATCTTCACATTGGCTATGCTTCCGCCAATAAACTTCATTCTTTAGGTTCTCATGGCTTGTTAGGATCTACTAAATTTGAGTCTTTTCGTTGTCTTGATTGTCAACTTGGTAAATAGCCGACTTTGTCTTTTAATATCGGTACTTCTAACTCGGATACTCCTTTTGCACTTATCCATTCCGATATTTGGGGTTCTTCTCATATTGCCTCGGTTAATGGTTATCGTTATTTTGTGTTTTTTATTGATGATTTTTCTCGCTTTACTTGGATATACTTTTTAAAACATCGATCCGAACCGCCTTCTATTTATATTAAATTTACCCTTATGATTAAAACTCAATTTTCTCATAGCATTAAGATTCTTCGCACCGACAATGCCATGGAATATAAAGAATTCTCTTTGCTCTATTTTCTCGATCAATAAGGTACTCGTTATCCAACACTCTCGCCCTTATACTTCCCAACGTAATGGGCGAGCGGAGCGCAAACACCGTCATATCTTTGACTCCATACGCACTTTGTTGCTTTCTCGCTTCTTTTCCCGAAAAAATTTAAAGAGAAGCCCCTTTCATTGTTGTCTTTGCCATTAATCGCATTCCTACTTTGGTCCTCAATAACCTATCTCTTTATGAAAGACTCTTTGGAAATCTTTCAAATTACTCGTTCCTTAAACCTTTTGGTTATGCTTGTTTTGTTCTTCTACAACCACATGAACACACCAAATTGGAACCTCGTGCTCGTTTATGTTATTTCCTTGGTTATGGCATAGAACATAAAGGGTATAGATGTTAGGATCCTTTCTCTCGCCGCCTTCCTATTTCTCGACATGTAACATTCCGGGAGAATACTATGTTTTTTTCCCTCTCCAAGTTTCATCACTTTATCACTACTCCCTTTCTCTTTTTTATCGATCCTGTCGTTGAATTATTTCCTAGTTCGGATCCGGATTCTACAACGGAGGTCAATGATAATACTCATACTTCTATGTCTACTCCTATTGAAACTGTTTCGAATATAGCTCCCGTATCCGAATCCACCATTTGTCGAAGCACTCGAGTAAGAGAAACTCCTTTTCATTTATCTAATTATCATTGTTATTCTGCTATTGTACAATTACATGAGCCTTGCACTTATCATGAGGCTAACACTAACCCTCTCCGGCAACAAGCTATGAATGAAGAACTTCAAGCTTTGGGAAAAACTCATACTTAGGACTTAGTTGATCTCCCTCCTAGCAAGACTCCAATTTGATGCAAATGGGTTTTCAAAATCAAAACTCGTTCGATGGCTCTATTGAACGATATAAGGCACGATTAGTCACTAAAGGCTATACTCAAAAATATGGTATAGATTATGAAGAAAATTTTGCTCCTATAGCTCGATTGACCTCGATGTGCGATCTATTAGCCATTGCAGTCGTTAAAAATTGGCGGCTCCTTCAAATGGATGTTAAAAATGCTTTTCTAAATGGTGACTTACAAAAGGAAATGTACATATATCCTCCTCCCGGTTATACTCAACCTCCTCACAAGGTTTGCAAACTTCAGCGAGCTTTATATGAGCTAAAACAAGCACCTCGGGTATGGTTTGTAAAATTTAGCTCTACTATTGCTCGGCTTGATTTTTCTTCTAGTCCTCATGACTCGCCTTATTCATTCATCATACCGATCGTGGTATTGTGCTTCTTTTACTCTATGTTGACGATATGATTACAGGTGATGACACTTACATTTCGAATTGCAACAATACCTTCGTCGGTATTTTGAGATGAAGGATCTTGGCCTTATTAGCTACTTCCTAGGCCTTGAAGTAACTCATAACTCGATGGTTACTATTTGTCTCAAGCTAAGTATGCTTCGATGTACTTCCTCGGGTTGGCATCACGGATAGTAAGATTGTATCCACTCCTTTGGAACTCAATGTTATACTAACTCCATTGGATGGTACCCCTTTAAATGATCCCACATTGTATCGCCAACTTGTTAGGAGTCTTGTCTACCTTATTGTCACTCGACCCGACATTGACTATGCTCGTTCATTTAGTGAGCTAATTCATTAGCTCACCCGGTTCTTCTCACTTTCTTCGTTGTACTTCGGATCCTTCGTTATGTCGAGGGGATACTTTTTCATGGCTTACATTTCTCTCGCTCCCACTTCTCTAGTCTTATCCGGCTATTCGGATGCCGATTGGGTCGGTGACCCCACCGATTGTCGCTTTACTACTAAGTATTGCTTCTTTTGGGAGACTCTCTCATCTCTTAGTGAAGCAAAAAACAAACCGTAATAGCTCGCTCTAGTATCGAATCGGAGTATCGTGCTCTTACCGATGCCACCTCCGAATTACTATGGCTTCACTCGGTTGTTATCCGATATGGGCATCCACCATTCATCCGTCACGATTCTCCATTGTGATAATAGAAATGCTATTCAAATTGCTCACAATAGTGTTTTTCACGAACGCACCAAACATATTGAGATTGATCGTCATTTTGTTCGCCACCATGTCACTCGAGGCACTCTGCGTTTGGTATCCGTCTCCTCTGCCGACCGGACGACTTATATTTTCACCAAGACTCATCTTCCCACTCACTTCTCCGACTTACTAAGCAAACTCAAGTTGGTATCTACACTCCCACCTTGAGTTTGAGAAGGGTGTCAACGGTATTAATGGCTATAATATAGGCTATAAAATAGGCCTATGATAACGGGATTTTATGTACAGCTTTTCCTTTCTTTATACAGCTTTTGTTTTCTTTCTTTAGACTATCTTATTTTGTATATATATATATATCTAGAGTCAGTGTACTACTATCACACAAAATATACAAGATTTCCTATTCATCACAGGCATAATCCATTCGTAGAAAACCAATTAACATTCAAACTTGTTAATTAATTTTAATTCTATAGTAGAATCCGGGTTACTTTTTTTTTTCTCTCTTTTTTCTTTAAAAAATAGAACATACAATTTTTTTTATAACGCAATGAAATTCAGCAATTTGCATACCAATTTTGCCCTCTTCCAATCATTTTTCTGACCCTCTTCCCATCCACAATTGTATTATATTTTAGAACTTCAATTTCGTAGACAAAACTTCAAAAGTGATTTTGTATTATATTTTAAAAAACATTTGAACTTGAAACATTACCTATGCTTAATTAAAAGAAAAAATGAGAATGATAAAATTCAAACTCACTCTAATATTATCATTAGAAAAATAAAAACAATTTCAATTATAAAATTTAAACTCGTTAAGTGAGACTTAAAAAATAATTTTATATTACTCTCCGACATATGATGAGATAATTTCTACAAATCATATTAATATACATAATATGAAATTGGCTCACAGGAATTTTATTTACTACAAGCGAAGATAAAATTTTATTTGAAATTAATACTGGCAAAGCCATTAAATATGCTGGATAAACCTCCATATTGCTGATTTAATCCGGAAAGGGTAACCTGCAAGAAATTTTGGAGTTGCATTATTAAAAAAAAAAATAACAGGAATCAGAACAGTAAAAATTACCATTAATAACCTAAAAAATAGTAAGTGAATAAACTCCTATGTCCTGATTATCAGTTTAAAGTCGTTTTGATTGAGGTAGTTATAATGCGTTCGAATGAGTGCATGGCCACAAGCAAACTGAATGAAATCCATAGAAACTATTTGCGTGGAAATGAGAGTAACAAGCCAACCCCAATGTAAGAAAAGCACAAGAGCTGTCGGAGTCCTGACGAAGATCAGCTGAGCCCGTAGTGCTGATATTGGTCACCATGGAATCTGATGACTGGCCTCGTTCAAGCAATTGTCCTTTTCCTGCTGATAAATTCACCACCTGCCAAATATAAAATGAACTCAAAAGCGAGGGTGAGTAACAAGAAGGAACTGAAAATTAATAAGATGTATAGTCTCACTTGCTGCTCCAATCGCTGGTTCTCTTCTATTAATTCCTCCATCTACAAATTAACAAAAAATAATAATATGAAATTGAATGGAAAGTGATCATGGTAATAATTTGAGTTAATATCAGTTATGTACATCATATGGCTGTGTTCAATTTCATTGATTCAGGATGAAGTTTTGAGGCTTAATTTATAATTTTTACGAATTTTTGCATGAAGAGCCTGAACATGTACGTGGTTAGGAATGTGACCTTTCTCTTGAGAGCTTCCATCTCATTTACAATTTTATCCTCCTGAAACAATTACAAGTTGAAATATATGTTTTAGGTATTGTACAAAGTTTTCAGCACATATATAAGCAGGACCAACCTATCTGCAGAATTAAAACGACAAAACTGCACAAACCTTTTCTTCCAAGACGCGACACAAGCTTCCTTGGATTAATTTTTCTAATTTCTGTAATTCTTCTATGTTCAATCCTTGCAGGTCTTCTCCCCTCATTTGCCTGTCGCCATATGTCTCAGCATTAGAATTGGAATGTTAAACTATTATGGCAACAAGTTCTTAATCCTGCAATTTTACCTCAGTTCACGGGTTTTCTCTGCTATTTCCTTGTTCAGCATGGCATACACAGCACCATCAAGCTAAAATGACAAAGAATATTGCCTTTATTAATGCATAACCATGCAATCTTATAGAATTAATATAGTTAGATTCTAGAGACAAGATCATTATCTTCTTCAACTTAATTCAAAGGTTTTGAAACAAATTATCTGGTGTAAAGTTGCAGGCCATCATCCATTTTACAGGTCCAAACTATAGATCAATGTCATATCATATTTCAAATGGTCCTGAGTTATCATTTGAGGCTAGCTTTTCGACATGGTTTGGATAGAGAACTTGAGCACGAGTCACGCTGCTCATCTCTAATTGTTCAAAATCTCTATAGCTGCAAAGAGACTTGAGATTTAATTTCAAATTAATAGATTTTAGGGATCTCCTGGAAAACAAAAATTATAGTCCTCTTTAAACAGTAAAAATAGATACATTTAACTGAAAGAAAAGAAAAAAATATATTTTATGGAAAATCAATGGTAATTAAAAAAAAAAAACAAGTTCATATGACAAGCTTTTGAAGTTAGATATTGATTTTAATAATATTACTTTCTTTGATAGTCTATCTAACCATAGTATTATCAAAAAAGAATAATTAATAGTTTGGTTCTAACCATAGTATTATCAAAAAAGAATAATTAAAGTTCATATAACTTTATTTGTATTTTGTTCATGCCAATATCTTGCTAGTTTTTAATTTAATTTATCTATTTAAATTTGGCTTACCAAAAAAAAACTTGATAAGCAACAATATAAAAACTAATTACCTGCAGCTCAAGGGATGGTTGACCGAACATGTCGATGTTCTTCGGATGTAGATTGTGCCTTTCGATCACTTGCCCAATGCTTCAAGATCAAAAGACAGGCCAATCATTTCTTGAATTATTCGTGTTCACTTCTAATTGCTAGCTACTAGGATTTTTCCCATGATTGTTTCAGAAAAAAATAAAAAACCTCTCTTGTCTGATCATAGAGATGTGCTATTTTCAATGATAAATTGATCGTTATCAATAGAAAGGTAACTATCTCTTGCAAATAAATCCTAGAAGACGTACAAACCAAGGGTGCTAAACACATTTAAGCTTAAAAGTGATCATAATGGTTAGGGCAGGGTGATCGTACCTAAAATGTTTTTTATTTTAATTTGTTAAGCCAATCAGAAGTTTTTTGATTGAAAAATGTCTACGTAAGAGCAAGTAAACAGATCAGGAGTAGAGGTAGAGAGGTATAGTTTTCATTATTATTTATGTTGTAGGTAGAGAATAACAAAAAAGCTCACCGAGCAGCAATAAAAATGCCAACTTGGAGAGGAAATATCAGATTGCTGCCCCCATTACAGCAGCAAACCACCATACCTAAAATGAAGGGGCTACCCAAAAACTTAGGGAAAAACAAAAAAAAAGGCAAAACAAGAACGAAGAAGACTAGCCATATTGTCCGCAGCAACAGAGATTGCATGAAAGCCGCGATGAAACCAAGATTGCGGCAAAAGAAAATTAAGGAGGATGCAGAATGCAAGATTAATTAGCTATTCAAGGTTAGAAAATGCAAGGCAGGAGAGATAATTGAATATTAGATCAAATAGCAGCAGGCAGCAGCCACACATGGATGAAGACTACGGGAGCCAAACAGCAGAAGGATCTAAATATGGAGACCCAAAAACAGCAAATATCAAATTGCAAAATAGCCAGCAGATGAAGCCTGGAAAGGGAGGCAGCCCAGGATACACGAAAAACCAGAAAGAGCAGAAACCAAGAAGGAAGCAAGAATGCCATATAAAGGGAGGAGAATCCATGGTCATGCCACGACAAACAAAAAGCAAAGTACCCTCACTTTACCAGATACCTGCAAAGCAAAGGAAACTGAGACTGATTGATCAAAAACAAGCAGCAATCAAATTACCAAAACTAGTCACACCAACTCTGCAAGAAAACTACTAACTCCACCAAAACACCGACCAACCACATAACTTTGCCGAAAGCATGGCAGGAAAACAAAACACGTAAAGGCCATCTGCAAGACACCTCCCAGTTATGATCCATGTGCAATCATGAACTTTCTAAAGGCAAACCTGAACAACTAGGCGTCAGACAATCTAGAAAGATGATCGTGTGAAATTTTCAATAAATACTAATATCAGAAACAACAACAATGACAAATCTTATAGAAAAAAAGTTTACAGTATTAACTCAATCTAACAATAACAAACCCTAATATCATATATAAGGTCATATCTATTGCCTTGTGAACCAAAAGCTCAAATCTCTTATGTTCTTAATTTTAACTCATTTGTACCTACAAATGAGCTATATCTTAGCTGGCATTAGTGTCTAATCTTCCTTCAAAAGATTTTTAGTTCGAAATAACCAAAACACTAATCTAAAGTAATCTAAGGCCTTGTCCCAAGTTCCCAACGGTGCCTACGAAACACATGTGAAATACGGGTTGATTTTTCCAAGACCTTGCACTGTCGAAACCCTAAGCAATCTGGAACAACACAATACCTAAATGATCTAATAAAATGGAATTGTAAGTATAGGTACAAGCAAAACCCAAGAAAATTTGGCTTTTTCTAGCAATTCCTATAAAAGTTCCATTTAGAATTTTCTCTTGTGCCAACTTGTGCCCACCGAGATGAAAATCCACTTTTCCTATTCCTATAAAACCTCTTTTATGATTTTTTTTTTCGGATGAGGATGTTTTTAGATTTTAATAGTGTGCTTTTAAACTTTATTACTAAAATAAGTATTTTTTTTTTTGGTCACGTGTAGCTTGAAAAAAAGACATGAAAATAAAATAAAAATAATAAAAAGACATTATTTTCTAACAATCAACAATCTCAACTAGAAAACGTACTATTGATTTTTGATATTTTTATGTTTGGGTTCAATTTTCATACAACCTTGACAATATTGTCACAAGAAAAAGTATCTCTCTATATAGAGTTAGATAATTAAAATTGGGTTACATCTAAAAGACTTATGCCTTATGGTAGGTGGCTCCTTCCTAACTTTATATATTACTCATTATTGCTCCTCCTCATTTGCGGCGCATCTTTTGGGTTACGTCAAGTGGCTTGGGCTCCGGGATCTTTCTTGGACCGTTAGGCCTCTTTGAGACTACGATACCATATAGAGTTAAATAATTGAGATTGGGTTCCATCCAACCGTTTGACCTCTTTGAGGCTCGATACCATATAGAGTTAGATAATTGAGATTGGGTTCCATCCAAAAGACTTAAGCCTTATGGTAGGTGACTCCTTCCCAACTTTATATATTACTCATTATCGCTTTAACTATTCATTGTGGGATACGTGCTCTAACACTCCTCCTCATTTGCAGCCCATTTTTTAGGGTCTATCAAGTGGCTTGGGCTCTAGGATCTTCACTAGACCGTTAGGCCTCTTTGAGACTCGATACTATATAGAGTTAGATAATTGAGATTGGGTTTCATCCAAAAGACTTAAATCTTAAAGTAGGTTGCCCCTTCCTAACTCTATATATGACTCATTATTGCTTTAACTATTCAATGTGAGATACGTGCTCTAACACTCTTAACTTGATTTCTCGATCTACATTACAAATGTGAATCGAAAATTTTAATTTTTGCTTTAAATTTATAACTAAATTTTCCTTTTGTTAAAATTTGTTCAATATTTTAGTACATTAATAGTTTTAGGATTTGTAAAGTTCATAGAATAGATCGGTAATATCATGTGAAACTCTTCAATTTTAGGTTTCCTATTCTATTAAGTTGAGCGAGTGGAAATTTGAGAAGAAAAATGAAGATTTTTTTGGCATTGGAGAAGAGAAAAAGAAAAGAGATGTGTGTGAAAGAGAAAAAGAAAAAAAATAAAAAATAAAAAAATAATGCAATAAAGACATATCAACAATACTCTAAGGAAAAAATAAATTATTTACATAGTTAAAAAGTGGAGACTAAATGATTAATTTTTAAAATAAAAATTGATGCTTTCAAAAGCAAAATTTGTCAACTAATAGAAGAAATGCTATAGAAATCAATAAAATGACTTGATTTCAAATGAAACATATTTTGAAAAAAAAAAATCAAACTCAAAATTATAAGCTAAAAAACTAATTCTCAAATGACATGAAATTAATTTAGAGAAGAGGAAGAAAAAGCAATTGAGTTTAATCCTAACTAAGTTTAATCATATAATTTTCTAAAAATTAGAATATAACATTTTCTTAAGTTAAGCGTAATTAGGATTGAAGTTAGGTGATAATGATGATAATAATGATAGGAAAAGGAGAAGAAAAGGCAGTGTTTAAGGCTGCTGTTAAAAGCCTCACTTCTCCTTATCAATGGGATGAATATAACATTTTTTTCTTATAACCTAATCTTTACTTTCGAGAAAAAAAAATAATTGAAAAATAAAGGATTAAGTTATAAGAAAAATTAAAAATATAAAAACTAATTTATAATTTACCCCTTGTTGAAGAGATTAATTTCATGTACTCTATCTTTCCCCATTAGATCCAGCTTCCTCATTGTGTTTGATACTGCTCTTATCAAGCTAGCTAGAACTGGAGAGCCGTTCTTCTCTTTTAACTGGTTTGATGGAGATGAGAGAAAGCTATAAATAAGAATATATAAGAAATTATAATATTATATTTGTATAGTTTTGCGTAGAGATTCTTTTCCACATTTATATACCTTTATAAATTTACCACTTTCCTTAGAGTAATAGTAAACTTCTACTTTGAAAGTAGTGAATAATTTTACCCCATATTTTTAATTGGGAAAAAAAATGATCAAATCATGGAGAATGAGTACTAATTAAGGCTAACGAAAATCCAAAATATCCATTTAGAAAATTTGTATACTTCGAAGGTTAACATATGCATATAATTGTAGGTTTTAGTAACTTAATAAGCATGTTTTCAAGGGCAGCGGTAGAGCTTAAACATTTTTTTAAGGACAACATCAGTAAAACAATTGTATCTGTGTCAGAGAGAAGAAGAAAGAGAGATTTCTTACTTCAAATCTATGGCAATCCCAATCTGTCATGCTGTTTGGGAATTATTATTATTATTATTATTATTTTTTTTTTTTTTTTTGGATTCAAATCTTAATGTTAGTAATTAGAATAATATTGAAGTAAAAGCAAAAAAGAAGAAGAAAAAGCAAAGAAGCGACACCTCCTTAATCCAATGCAATTATATTAGCTACTATCTATTAATAATAAAAATCTCTTTCCCCCCTCATATTATCAATTTTTGTTTAACAGTACTAACGACTAAATGCAATTGAACAAGAAAGGATTAGTTTTTATTGAAGAAACGTTAAAACTGGAAAGTCTTTTTTTCTTTCCCTTACATTCATCAATATATTTAGTCCAATAACTTTTATTCTTAAACTGTGTAGAAATTTCTTTCTAAATAAAAATAAAATGCTTATTTCCATTTCTTGTTGCAAAGTGGAGGATTTCAGTTTGAAAGAAAAATAAGGAATGATGATTGGGGAAGGAGCATATATGGATTTGGCTCCCTTCGAGTAAGATAATCTATCATATTAGATAAATTTAGATCAATAGTTTGGACTTTTTATATAAAAAACAATTACCGACTTTAAATGCATTAATTAAGTTTAATCTATCTTTAACATTTACTTTTTTGAATCTATCTAAGATTATTGTAATCTTTATTTCTTATTTATTTTATCATGTCTTTCAAATTAGCAACACCTACATTATGTGAAAATGTTTTTTTTATATATATATTTATATATAGCGGGCTATCTTCGGGTCAGGTTTTACATCAAATGAAACTAAGTC